GATAAGTTAGACATGAATAAGCAAAGTACTTTATAACTTGATTAAGTGTATATGTGATGTGGCTTCCTTGTTTCTCCCAGCATGTGAGCCTCTGGTTTGGTCTTGTACTGAGCTTCCTTGCAACAGCCAGGCGGTGGCACTGTTAGTCACTGTCGTGGCTGAGAACCCAGCAGCGTTTTACTGCCGCATTGACAGTCCTACAGGTATTGTTTCTTCAGCCTAAATAGCCGCCATTTTTACCCATAGCAGCATTGTCTCGGCAAATATACAGAGACTTTTCGTTAATAACTAGTTATTTTTAGATTTTTAAAGGCAGCAAATCTATCAGATTTTCAGTCATGTAATTATTCTGCAATATTTTCCATATATTGTAAAAATGTACAGTTGCATTAGCACCACCAGTGTAAGGATAAATGTTAGCAAAGGCTTGTTTTATTTAGTGAAAAAACATTCAGATGATATTTTATATCAAGGAAATAAAAACAGAAGTGAAAAGAAAATTAAGGATACTTTTAATGAGACCACAGCAGAAGAGAGTGGATGGTAGTCTGGGTCTTTTGTCTTTGTAAGCAGAACAAACAATATGATGAGGTGGGCAACCCCAACATGGTGTTTACAAGCAAGCAAAAATGCAGAACAATACTGCAAATAAAATGCCAGTAATTAAGCTATAAATATCCAGTATGAAGAGAGTAACAGCATGAGTCAGAGGATTCATTTATTGATGCATGCATGTGTTATCTGTGTGTTTGTCAGACCACCAGCGCCTGAAAGAGCTGGGGGCTCAGTTAAAGCAGCATTGTGAGGCTGATGCGTCACCTTTCGAGCCCAAGGTGGGAGAGCCCTGTTGTGCCCTGTTACCTGGTGAGACCATCTGCTGTACCACTGACTTTATAAATGTCATCAGCTCAGCAGCCGATTGCTAAAACATGACACAAACCACACTTTATTGTCAGTTAAATGTTCTGGGGTTTTTATTATAGCTGCTTCCCCCCCCCCCCCCCCACACTGTGATCTAAATCCACTCATGATGAATCTTGTCTTTCTTTGTGTTTGGGGCATTTATGGGACATGATGTGCTGTTTGTTCCCCAGGGGATGGAGCGTGGTGTCGGGCTATGGTGACGGGGCTGTCTGATGACAAGGTAGCTGTGAACTTTGTGGACTATGGCTACAGCTTGACAGTTGAAAAGGGCCACCTTCGATCCATTACAGCCCAGCTACTGACTCTACCCTTCCAGGCAGTTCGCTGCTGGCTCACAGGTTGTGTGTGTGTGTGTGTGTGTGTGTGTGTGGTTGAGAGCTCTGTTTCACAATATGAAGCATATTTGAAATGTGAGAAATTGTCATATATTTTGGCACATTCATGGAGAGACTGCATTATAGCTTTGGAACTGTGTGAAAGCCAGATGGAAGTTTGTTCACGTTTGAATTAAAAAAATACAAAAGTTTAAAGGGTAGACTATACTGAGTGGTGTGTGTTTGATTTTTAGGCGTGGAGCCTCTTGGATCAGAGTGGAGCAGTGAAGCTGTGCTGTGGTTCCAGACTCAGGTGTATGGTGAGCAGCTCTCTGCACGTGTCCTCTCTGTCACTGAACAGGGCTACGGTGTGGAGCTGGAAAGCAGAGGAGTAAATGTGGCAGCTGCCTTAATTTCTGAGCAACTAGCTAAAGTTCCTGGAGAGATTGCCAGAGAAACGCATGGAACAACAGGCTCTGCAACCAAACAAAGCGTGAAGACAAATGAGCAAGATCCCTTAGAAACTCAAGTCTCCAGTCAGACAGAAGTTAATTTCAAAGAGATACCAGCTGAAGGATGGACTGCAGTGTCCACAGAAGGTCAGCCAAAGAGAGGAAGTCCTCAAGATGCTGGTGGTGATTTAGGAGGCTTATTTATAATGTTGCATTCTGGTTTCAGTGCCATCTTTTCCAGTGGAGTGGAAGACTGTGGAGCTGCCGCTCAGTGATGCCTTTCAGCCTTATTTTGCGGGCATCATTAATCCTTCCATCTTTTATCTGCTGGGTCCTGCTCGAGGTTGAAACAGTTGTCTTCTACTGTCTTATAAAATGCATGTACATAACATAGACGTTGCTGTGTCTTATCTAATTGCTCTCTATGCTTGTGTTTGTTTGTTTATTTATTGATTTATTTCTGTAGTGGACCAACAAAAGCTTCAGGAGGTGATGGTGGAGCTGGCTGTCTACTGCAACAGCCAGGCCACCTTGTCCACAGCTGTAAAGGGCAAACCAACTCCTGGGGCTGCTTGTTGTGCTCAGTTCTCAGGTGGGGTTCTTTCAAATGTGCCAGGGTTTTTTGTTTTTGTTTAATTTCGGTTAGGTTTTTCTTCCTCACCTAGTTTTGATTTTTAGGTCACTGTAACCCTGCTATACACACAGAGAGCAGCACTAGTTCACCGTTCGCAGGCAATGCAGTAACTGTTTCTAGCCACAAGGGGGCAAATGGGTTCTCACAAAAGTTGTTGGATGGAACTTGAAGGCTAGTCCTGAATGAGATATTCACAGATAATCTCATTTTAAATATTTCGCCTTGCTTGATTGAGGGAGACTAATTTTCACATCTCATAATGCTTTGAGGAAATGTTGTTTACTAATTTTCATTTAATAAATAATACAAACATGGTAACAAGAAAAAATCAAGTGAGGACAGAATCGCTGTTACACTAATCCTGTTAGTGTACATCCAGTTTTCATTGCTGGCGGTCTGCTCTGGAAACCCCACCTGAAATTCTTGCTCTTACAGAGCTAAGCTGGTAATTTCATGTCTTCTAGTAGGTATAATTACACTGTGTGTGTGTGTGTGTGGCTTTAAACACAGTATACACGGAGTAGGCTTTAGCTGGGGTTACATTCCACAGTCCAGCTTACAGCAGGTCTGTTTTCATTGAGCTTTTAGTGCTTGTAAGGTCAGAGGAGTTCTATATGTTAGTCCCATGAGGATAAATGTAATATTTCATTCAATGCTGAGTAGTTTGACAATTTTTCTTTCTAAATTATGTTGGAATTCCTGTGACTACAAAACAAAATATAGACTTAGACTTCTTTTTTTCCAGCTGACAATAACTGGTACCGTGCAGTAATCCTAGAAGTTGGTGAGAAAGAGGTGAGTGTCCTCTATGCAGACTATGGCAACAGTGAGAAGGTGCCATACTCCCGGATCTTGCCCATCCCCAGCAACCTGCTGGAGCTTCCCTTTCAGATCACTCGCTGCACTCTTGCTGGTAAGGCAGCACAAGTATTCTTTGTCATTTTCTGGGCTTTGCTAGTTTACTGACTCGTGTCGCACTGCCTTATGTTTATTGATAGGTAAGGAGAACTTTCCAGCAGAGTGGCCTCAGGAAGTGCAGCTGATATTTCAAAACGCGGTCTTGGATGGGGTCCTCGCCACGGTCCAGCACTTTGATGGCTCTGCTAACGTGCTCTCACTCACTCTGCCCGCTGAGAAGGGCGGGGGAAACATCACTGACATGATCTCAGAAGCATTACATGCCCAGAGGAGAAGTAACCCTTGCACAACCTCGACCCAGAAGACTGACAAAACTGGCAGCAGCACATCTGTCAACACTGCAGCCGCACCAGACGGCTCTAAGCCCAAATCGGTACCCGAAATCCAAAAAGAGCCAGTGAGCACCACAGTGCTGGCAAATACTGTGGATGCAACATCCCAGCATCCGGAAGAGAAGATGAATATTTCTGCAGCATTGGCCTGTGGTTCGTAATAAGATTGTGATTGTAGGATTAAGTTACTGGTTTCTTTTTAGTGTAAAGAGAACTGACAAAACGTATCCAAAATAATGTGAGATTTTTTAAGTGCCGTATTTTACTTTGCTCAAGTATATTTAGGTTGGTAAAAAGATGTGCATCAAGTATTTAATTGATAACAGGACTGGGTCATTGTTTTTTGTTCTTCAGAAGAACCAGTGAAGGAGATTACTGAGCAAATAAAGCCACCAATCCAAAATACTTCCAACAGTGATGGTGTGTATGTTTTAGATTAGAAACTGAATCGTTTTCACCTGAACTGACAAGTGTTTGGATTTCTTTGGACATGCCGTTTTGCTGTGCTCTGATTCTCTTTCCGCTCTCATTCAAATCCTAGCCCTTCAGACCTCAGGCTGCTGCTGTCTGAGCCTGCAGGCCAAGGTCAGAGTTGATCTCACAGTTTTGATTAACATTAAAAGATCTTAAATGGCACTATTTTATAAATGCTTTTGTTAATACTACAAAATGTTTTTATATTTTTCTCTAAAATTAAATGCAAACGAGTGACTGCTTTATTTGCTTTTCTCTTCCACAGATCGATGAGCTGGAAGAGCTGATGAAGCTGCAGCTTTCGCTGATCCAAATGTTTGTTGGACAGAAGAAATATGATAAACAACATTGTTGAATCCTGTTTTTGAAATCAAGGTTGTTGTTCTTTCCCAGATTGTTTCTCCCAAACTGAATCTGGTCTCCAGAAGCTGCCAACCAGCTTGTGTTTGCTTTCTCCGTATTTCTTTGTACCTTTTAATTTTGTTCCCTTATCTGTGAGATTCTACTCTATGTGCCTCTTTTTCTTATGTTTTTAATTTTTGGTTAAGCTGAAGTTTTTTTTTTTGTTTGCTTTTCCTCTGGAAAAAAATGCCAAAATTCAGCAACAAGAGATGTTCAGCTCTCTTTATCTTTGTGTGTCTTCTTTAAGTGTTGTGGCCCATGCTGTGCTGCCATCTGTTCCTTTATTGAGTTGTAATAACCTGTTGAGGTGAGATGTTCACACTGACTCACTTCTGTTTTGACATGTTTGAGTTTTATGTAAAACTTTGTGGAAAAAAGACAATACAGCGATGTTTGTGTTCTTTTAAGCTGATGGATTACTAAAGCTTTCTATACAGTAAACCAAAGGGAAAAAGTTTAACTTTAATGCCTCTGTAGTTTCATGTGTCTTAAGTGGTACCAGGATGTAAAACTATCTAAGCCACTCAGTTTTCGTACCTGTTGGAGATGGGAGGAGGTCATGTGACGTACTCATCTGTGCAGGTACCTCAGGGATAGGCATGTCGGGTAGGTGGGGTCGCAGCTCCCTCTCTGGTCGGAGGCAAAGCGCCTCATTAAATCAAATCAGTGCGGAAACAAGGTGGTGTTAGGACGGAGAGGACCGGTCTGCGGAAGACGCGCTTCAGCTTAAAGGAGAAAAAACTGCGGTCGACGAGACGATTTATCGGTGCGTGGGTTTGGATGTGGTGGTGATGGTTGACTTTCTGTAGCAGTTTAGTAAGTTTGCTGTTTGACTGAGTTAACAAGTTACTGTACAATGATTTTTTTTTTTTTAATGTAACCTAAAGGAATTTACGAGATTGCTTAAAAGGTTTAAGGAATACCACTTTGGATATGCGTACTGACGAAACCTGCCTTTCCATTTTTGACTGTAATGTTAGCATGCTAGGACCTTGTACCTGACTTTAAACCTGCCATACGCGGAACAGTGACCAGGTGTGGACAGACTTGACTAGAGGTTCAGGCCAGAGGGAAAATTAAGCACATTTAACCCACCGCTGTAAACTCTGCTACCGTTAAATAATGCTAATAATTTAGCGACGTTTTATCCCAGGCATGTGAATATATTCCCCGGTAAATTTGTAGGGTGCACCTTAATCCCCCCCACACGAATATCTAATGAGCCAATCACACAGAAGCAGCTCAGAGTATTTCGACATGTAGAAGTGGTCAAAGGAGCCTGCTGAAGCTCAAATCACCTGACATTTCGCTGCAGTGTTTACAGAGTGAACCCAAAGGTGCTCTACTGCTTCAAGCTGATGCAAAGGCAACAGATAACCACTTGGTATAGCAAAGGTATGCACGATAATAAATCTTGAAGGAGATGGGTGCAATAAAATGCTTTGAAATGATAGGAAAACTACAGTAAATAACTAGTTGTTAAAACTAAGGTGTGCCGAAGAGCATCTCTTGGGCAACAGCAGCAGAAGATCACACTGGGTATTGCTTCTTTAAGAAGAGGAATCTAAGGCTAATATTTGCACATGGTCATTACAATTGGACAACAGAAGATTGGGAAATATCTCGACTGATAAGTCTTAATTTTTGCTGTGATATTTGGAAGGGTCAGCATTTAAACAATATGAAAGCATGGGTCCTTCCTCCCTTGTGTTATATGTTCAAACTGCTGTTGGTGTAATGATTTCTGGGATGTTTTCTTGACACACTTTGGGCCCCTAAGTACAAACTGAGCATCATTTAAATGCAGTAACCTACCTGTTGTTGACCATGTCTATCACTTTATGGCCCCAGTGTACCCATCTTCTGATGGCTTCTTCCAGCAGGATGACAAAGCTCAAATCACTCAAACTGGTTTCTCACAGTCACCAAATCTCTATCCAGTAGAACACCTTTGGGATGTGGAGGAATGAGAGATATGTATCCAACAAATCTGCAGCAACTGTGCTAAAATGCCAGTATGAGCCAAAATCTCTTAGGGAATGCTTGTGGCACCTTGGAATCTGTGCCACAAAGAATTAAGTAATCTAGGAGCAGAAACTGGCAAAGTGTGTACCTAATGATCTGGCACGTCCGTGTGTGTATCAATAAACTCAATGACACACAACATAAAAAATAAAGTGAGTTCTTATTTGCACAAACTGGATTTGCTGCAAATTATTCTAAACAATAATCTTATTTAGCTTGATTAACTGGGAACTGATGATAAGCTGCCTCAAAATCCCATCAGAGACTGCATCCTCTGTCTGTGTGTGGTTTCCGACTTGTTAGAGCAACACATCACTACAGTGGGTACATACCAAAGCATTTTGTGGCTTTTAATCACTGCCGTGCTGCACAGTTTTTCACATTTGCTCTCTGCTGTTTTTAAAGCAGCTGTTTCAGGTGAGTCACCCTAAAATGATTTACACTGTCAGGATGTTTCTTAGAGTAACACACTCACTCCCAAGTACAGGTTACAAGATCTCTGCCGTTTCTATGAAGCTTGTTCAAAAACTGGTGCTCCTTTCTAATTATACAGCATGAAGGCACTTTACCACCAAGCATACAGTTTGGTGGGAAAGCTTGACTTGGCCCTTCCTCTTCCTCCATTATTTTACCACTGAAATTGAGCGCTAATATTTTATGGGTTAATCATCCCATTCACATAAGAAATATGAAAGACATTAGGTTAGGAGAGTGTAGCACTTTAATTAGCATTTCCTTCCCCTGACAGGCTGATCTGTGCAGTTTTGCTCATTTAGCTGGAACCACTATTCCAGGGCAGACAGCTGAGAAGCTGTTCGCTGGCACACAGACTCGGGGAGGGCAGGAATGCTTGTGAAGAAGAAGCCAATTTTGAGACAGGTGTGCGCACTACACACGTTTACTGTAAAAGTGTCTTTTATATGCCGGCATGGTCGGCTGCTTCCCTGTGCAAGCACGGGCGCTCTAAGCTGCACCCCCACGGAAGTAATGAAATCTGTTGTCAGCAAGACGTACCAGCGAGTGCACAAAATGAGCATCAATAGCTTTTTCTTGATGTTTATCAGCACGTGCCTTCTCAGACAGCCACATCATGTCAGCTCTGCAGATCCGTATCACAGACACACAGACTCCTCTTAAAGAGGGGCTCCATCCTGCACACAATCACATCCCTGTCTCAGAAATACACACGGCTTTACCTGTACAGAGGGTTTCTCTGGTCTACCTATACACAGATACACATATTTTAGTACGGCTATCTTTGTGGGGACCTGTCACTTACATAATACATACCACGCCCCCTTACCCTAACCATAGATGTCATTACTGAATACCTAAAGTCAAGTATTAACCTTCGGCCAGCTATGTAAGCTTTTGGGGTCCAGCATTTTGGTCCCCACAAAAATGTCAGATCCCACAAGCATAGTGGGCTTTTGTTGGAGCAAGTCCACACACAATTATATAACCATGATTTCATTGGATATAACATTAACTTACACTGAGTTGTTTAAATGTGCTCTAACATTAATTAGAACTGCTAATCTTAAAGCAGTCTTTACTTTAAAGGCCACTGCCTTTAAGGAGTGTTGTGTTTTGTCCCCATAAGAAAGGAATGCCCGTATAAGGTTACTTTCTAGGGAAATATTAGTCTCTATAATATGCATACCTGTTGGACCACACACAGTCTTTTCAGCCACAGGAAGGATATTTTAGCCCTGCTTATCAGCTCCCAGAGTTAATCAGATATTATATGCATCCCCCTTAACATTGTATGTGTATCAAACAGTCACAACATGTGCCTGTCATTGTAATGGTGCGGCTAACCTGAGGTCAGGTTGTATGCTTGCTTAACAGTTGGCATGTGTGATCAAATCATAATCAGTGGGTTTGTAGATGGCCGTGAGGCTATGTCAGAATATTCTGGTATCCCAGCTCCTGGGTGACCACTGTGGTAAACATGGATTACACTCTCAAACACACATATTTACATAGCTCGTATCTTGTTGGAATCCCCCCCACACACACACACACATCCAAAGTAGTTTACATCCTGCTTGAAGAAAGAGCTTCATTTGGAATGTATGGGATTCTTTTTAACCCAGACAAAACACTTATATGTATACATGCTGGTATCAAGATACCTTTGTTAAGTGAGTTACGTTCACTGGCCACTTTATTAGGTATACCTGGCTGGTACTGGCTTAGACCCACTTAGATAAATGTGCAGCAATGTGCAGCAATTGCATGATGCAGCTTCACATTTGTTAGCTGTATATCCACGATGTGAATCTCTCGCTCCACCACATCCCAAAGGTTCTTTTCTGAATTAAGAGCTGGTGACTCTGGAGGCCAGTTGAGTACAGTTATGTGTGCTGAGTATTGTTATATTCAAGGATCCAGTTTGATCTGAGCTTTGCAACATGGGGAGACCGTGGTCTTAAGGGGACGGACATGGTCAGCAACAATATTCCGGTAGCCTGTAGCTTTTAAACGATGCTCAGTTGTTTTGTCCTGTCTCTCAGAATGGCACATGTGTTTTTGATTATTACACTGTAAAATTAGTTGAAATAACTAAATAAAAAATTCTGGGCGTGTAGACGAATATCTGAAGAAGTGTATTGGATTTTGTTTTAATTTAATAACCAAAATAGAATTTAGTGGTTTGTTGCCTGAGGGCAACATTATGCTGTTAGGCCACTTTTCCCAGGGTAATAATACCAAAACAGAGCTAAATTATATCTGGACGTTTAGGGTCATTCCCACACTGAGAATGGTGAACTTGATGAGAGTAAAGGTAGATCCCAGAATCAGGTTTGAGGAAAAATTATTAAGGCATAGTATGAAAATATTTTAAAAAGTTTTTGCAACCACCCTGGTTTTTCTCTATGGACACTCTTTGAAAGGCCAAAGTTCAACCACTTAGCTACACTTAGCTATGAAAATATGGTAACAGTGCAGTCAGTCTTGGGTTACTTACCCCCTGGCCCCCCTGATTGAATGTAGTTGTGCCCTGTTGCTGATGACTTTTTCATTTTTACTTGGTAGGGTTACACAGACTTGTCCTCATGTCCCTTGGCTAGCACTATAGCACATTTCCTGAATTGTGTCAAGGCTTAAGTGGTTTTCCGTATAACACAAAAACTGCTCACAAAAAAACCTTTCTCACAATTTCTGGCTCCTTTGCCAGTGTCTCTGACATTTTGTCTGTCTGATGGATTATATTGCTAAAGTTTTTTTCACCTTGAGAATAACAGAAGACTTTCACTCGTGAACAAGAAACCCCCCCAGATATATGTGCATTTTAGTGCTTTTACTTTGCATTCTGGCTAAGTGTCCCTTTTGTTGTCGTTCCAGGCGTCCCAGGATGAACTTTCATATCTGCCTCTCCTCTCTCTTAACTGTGCTGCTTTTTCAAGGTCGGTTTATTGATTTTATTACTGTTTTGCCTTCTGTGCCTCAGAGCCATTAGTGGGAGGAGTGTTTTAAGTACTATTTTGGAATATCTGCTTGCGCATTATGGATGCTTTGTAAATAAAAGTCAGTGGATACAGCGCTGTGTCAGGGTTAGCAGTGGAAATAAATGCTAATATTAGGTATGTACTGATGGTTATGGTTGTTTTTGCTCAGGAAAAGTTTAATGTTCTTGTAAATATAGTGTTGAAAATGTTCATTGTGTTGGTGCTTGTGAGAACATTTAAGGCCCAAGTTTATGCCCTGCTTGATGGAAAATGTGCGGTGAATCACTGAAGCGCCTCTGGACCACCTGAGATTCTTTATGAGACATTTCACAGCTTTAACCTGTCAAGTCTCGCATCAAAGTGCTTTCCTGCCGCGTGTGCTTGACATGCTGCTTGTTTTGCGAGGCAAACTTTGCATCTCTTCCATTGCATTGTTCCCATTGACCAGAGTCCATCGGTATGTGCCTGAGGGAAGAGGCGGGAGTCGTGGGGCAATATAATCCTTGAATTGTTTTCAAAAATGACAGCTTTAGCCCCATCCTAACTATTTATTATGGGTCATTTTAAGACTTTGAACTTGAGCACACCAGACTGTCTTACCCTGTCAAGAGACGACACGCTGACAACACAGATAACATGTTTCAGTGCAAGATATCCATGTAATCCAGCCTGTCAAATTGAATTCCACAGATCGGGGCAGGCTAATCCCTGTTATTTTTCTGATTTCAGGGAGATATTGTGTTGATCTCGTGGGATTGATGCCAATTGACATCAACCCTTCAGCTGCAGGGTTTACATTTATTATGTTGTTCCTGATTTTTCTGCTAAATCGTCTTTCACACACATTAAAGATACAGTCATTCTGCTAGAGTCGCTCGGCTGAACAGATAGATGTTTTGTTCAGAGCACTGTGGGCCCCACACTGACCGTGAAAATGCCGCTTGCCAAGAACCTAAACGTCCACTGTCAGGAGTGCTTTGGGGCTGCGGCGTTGTTGGAATTCGAGGAAGCTGAAAGGGTCAGGATTGTGGAGAGGTCGGAGAGCAGAGGTCTGGTTTGCAGGTGGCAGGTTTCTTTAATTATTAGTGTTGTGCTTAATGTTTCATGACCCGATGAAGGCCTTTAGACCTATGAATGAATGGTTGAAGAAAAAAAAAATAAAGTCATGAGTTTTAAAAAATGATATTATTGCCACTTCAGAATTTTAGTTGTGCTCAAAATGTAACAATAAAAAATTGCATTGGTTTTATTATTTATATGTTGCACACTTTCCCTTTATTTATTTTTTTTACAACCACTGACATGTCTTTTGCTAGATGCATGTTGCATTTCACCATTAATCATCCGTGGCAGCCTGCAAAGAAATCAGATTTAAACAAAGGTTGTCAAAAATAATAAAAAGGACTCAAGGTTAGTGCTGAGTTTGCGAAAGTCTTGACACCCTGACGTAAGCTGGTTCCCTTCTTTCCTCTGGAAGAACAGTATTCTCTGCAAACTAGTTCATGCCCTTCTTGAGCATTTAAAGCGCTTTATACAACATGCCGTATTCATGCAAGTTCTTTCTCTTCTAACATTTACACACATGTATATATCGGAAAGTAACTTGGAGTTCAGCGTCTTGCCCAAGGATACTTTTGTAATGCAGACTGGAGAAGCCAGGAATCAAACCACCTACCTTCCAATTAGTGGATTACTATCCAACTGTCTATTCTTCCCTTCGCCAATCTAACAAAGTCAAAAAGGCCCAAAAAAATCATGTTTAAAAGAAAAAAAAATCAATGTCAGCCAGTATTTTTCTCCTCGCCTCTTACCGGACAACATCAGTGACAGAAATATGAGTGCAAAATATGAGGACAAAGCCAATGTCGGCACTAAATAATCCCATCAAACTTTTGTACACGCAACCTTTCTTTGATGTTTTCGGTTGCGCTTTATCGTCCGGCTCGTTTGACTTTTTATCACCTGTTTTAGCTGATGTGCAGGCACTAAATCAGCAAGACACGGACAGCCTGAAGCATTACGGGAGGACGAACTGACACTTTCTTTCTGACTGAAAAGAAGCACTGTGGTATTCAGAGTGTGGAATCTGTTCAGCGTGGCAACGCACGTTTGTAAAATCACTCAAGTGCTCCCTTCTCTGTGCCGAACAAATGCCTCTGTCGGACAAAAAGCCATGTTCACACGAAAACATGTCCTTGCTCTCCTCTGAGCCGTACGTGTGCCTGAATAGAAGAGCGTCCTTTGACTGAATGGAGCGAAAGAATGGTTTTCTTCACTTGTCTGCTCACATTAGCTTGAAATACTCAATTATCCATTAGAATAGGGCTCATGTGGGAGTCTATTTTGGCTTTAGGGAAAGCATCCAATTTATTGGTTATTTTTCTTTTCTCACGGCTCTATAGGATGTCTGAACAATGATAATAAATAAAGTTAACGTGAAGAGTAATGGTCTACAGGTCAGAGCATGGTTTTTTATATGAAGTATTTTGTGAATCTGAGACTGATGAAAAATTGTGACTTTTAATGGGAGCTGGTGAGGATCCAACTAAAATTAAGATATAAACAAATTGAAATTGCAATGATAATTTATAAGTGTTTGAAACCTTGTGGAGATCCGGACCCTAAATGTTTTAAGCTTGAATATGTTCTTTTAGATTACAGTAATCTAGATACATTTAGAAAATCAGTTAAATGTGTGATAAGCCACGTTTCACCTATTTCTAATTTATTCCAAGTTATTTTGGCCTCTCTCTCATAGGTTAGTGCTTCATATGTAAATTTACTGTGAATGTAGGTGAATAAATAAAGACTGAGTAAATATCTGACTGCTCTCTGTGTTGTTGGTGCCTGCTAGTTCAGCACGGCACCTCTGTGCAGGAGCTTCAAACCAGCCATGAGAACATTGTGAAAATCAACTCTGCAGGAGAAAGTGAGTACCTTACAAAATGGTTAACACATAAAATGTACAGTCATGTGAAAAACGAAGCACTGCTTCCATAGGTAAGTAGCAGCCAGGCTCTTGACTTTTTGATCATCAGGAGTCACCTCTGTAAAAGCAGCAGTTTTGGCAGTTCTGTGGTTTGGAGCATTCAGGTGTGTGTTGATGCCCAGCAAATTCAACCTAAGATCTGGCTGCGCAATCCTCTTAGAAACTGTATAAAACCAGAGAACTAGATCTCACATTCTACAGGCTTCAGCATGTTAAATGTTAAAGTTCATGATATCACAATTACAAAAAAGACGCAACAAGTATGTTTTTTTTGGAAGGGTTGCTAGATAAAAGGTGCCTGTCACTAATAAGAACATGACAGCACAGCTTAGGTTTGCATCTAAAAAGATGAGACCAAAGTGGAGATGTTTGGTCATAATGCACAATGCACAAACATCTCTTGCCACATGTCAAACTCAGAGGTGAAGGGGTGATGATTTAGGATTGCTTTGCTGCCATAAGACCAGGGTACCTTGTAGTCATCGACTCAACCATGAGTCAGTGACTCAAAGTATTCAGCCTAATGTGAGGCCATCTGTCCAACAGGTAATGTTTGGTCCAAATTGGGTCATGCAGCAAGATAAAGATCAATAGAACAGCAGAATCTACAACAGAATGGCTAAAAACAAGAGAATCAAGACACTTAAGTGGCCCAGACAAACCCTCAAGCTGTGAATAAGCAAATTTTAATGAACCGGAGGAATGCTGTTAACAACAATGAGCCAAAATACTTCCACAATCACGTAAAAGACAGATAAATTCTTACAAAAAATTACTTCAAGTTACTGCTGCTAAAGGTAGTTTTACAATCTACTGAATCAATGTTTTTTTTCACATGAGTGTTGTTGCTAGGAATTGTTGTGACATGCTTGGTCATGATGTCAACCTGCATCCCTGTAACTGGATGTAAGTCAGCTGAGCAGCACACAGTGAATGAGCCAGAGAGCCTAAATCAGAAATGGATAACAAATTGTGAGACAGAAATACTTAGAAGTTGGTGGTCTGTGTCAGTGGTGTATGTGACTTTTCTATAAGCAGATGACTCAAATGACAGACAGATGACACACGCTGCACGTGTAATGTGCCCCTAATGGCTCTGTTCATAATCAGCTGATGCACCCAGCAAGTACAAACGTGCATGAAAGAGAGAGAAAGCTTTTCGCTTGGTAGTAGTTTAATGTGTGAAAGGGAAAATATAAGAAAATAAAATGAGCTTTGACATGCAGAGTTTGTTTTCTCTTATTATGTCTAGATACTATTTTTGTCTGCAACGGTCCATTTGATACCCAGCCAGGAAAACCAATATAATACAGGAATGTGGGGAAGCTAGTGAATGAGTTTGGACCTATTGACCCATCTTCATCTGTACCCTCTGTGTGAATTATTCTGTGTGTGTTTGCTTTAATGGGAAGTGATGCAGTGCTCAGCAGTCATGGATATCCTCTTCCTCATGGATGGTTCCTACAGCGTTGGGAAAGGCAGCTTCGAGAGGTCCAAACACTATGCGATCAAACTCTGTCAAGCACTAGACATCGGAGCAGATAAGGTTTGGGTTGATCTCTTGTCTCTCGCCGTCTTCGCATCCTGTCAGTCAGTGCTCTTGTAATTTCTCCCTGTGCAGGTGCGAGTTGGTTTAATTCAGTTTGGCTCAACTCCTCGGCTTGAGTTTACCCTGGACTCATACTCCACCAAGCAGGAGCTGAAGAAGCAGATAAAGAGCATTTCTTACAGGTGTGTCTCTGCTGCCATCTGAGCACGAGTAGCTCAATATGTGAACTCAAGCCTTTAACTTAAGTTTGGTTTTGTATATTAATGAGTTATAACTATGAAGGATCCGGGACATAAATGAAAGCTTTAAAGAAATGTGGAAAATGTGTCTAAACAGGGTTTTTTTTTGACATCCATTATGAAATTAACTGTTTTAAATCATCTGCGCTCACTGGAGAAGCAGGCGACATTATTTTAAGATTTTAATTAGCAAGCAACACTTCTAAGGATGGAGTCAAAACATTTGTGGCTCACAGCTTTCTTTGATTTGGAAAACAGAGAGCCTACATTGGCAGGCGTCCTCTTTATTTTTTCTTCTAGCGTTTCCATTGTTATCAACTGGCCTGGAAGTGCAAGATGCTGTTAGTGCAGACTGAGATTACAAAACTGTATGCGTGTGTTATATTTGCCACAGAAGATTCAGTAGTTCATCTATTTTGACAGCTGAAAAAAAAAGACCTAGTGCTAACAAAATGGTATGTCCCTGTTGGAGGCATGCCTTTTTCTATGTTTTTAAAACCAGACTGTCATGTTTAAGAAAACAAATCCAAGAGTAAATGAATAAAAAAGGTGATAGAATTAGGTCGAACATATCCAGACTGGCAACATTTTCTTGTCCTCATCTTATATTTTATAAATCCCTTAAACTATGCTGACAGCAAAACACATACACATGCACACATGTGGCTAAGTAGCACCAAATGCTCCCTGAAAAGGAAAACAAATTAATTTCAGATTAGAGGCCCTCCACAGGTGGTCACTGGATATTGGATAAGTGCATAAACCGAGGAAGAGGATGGTAATTTGACCGTGTGTGTGTGTGTGTGTGTGTGTGTGTGTGTGTGTGTGCGTGTGTGTGTGTGTGTGTGTTGTTCACAATGTGGAAGTAACAGTTTGACCCACCAGCTGGTTTGAAGTGAGTACATAGAATTGAAACCTATAACCAGTCACATTACCACAAAATGAATTAATGTAGCGACCGACTCAACATCAGTAGAAATGTTATAGCAACTTTGGAAATGTTAGAGAACTTTATGCATTTTTATTGGATTTATTGCATTATTATCATTATTACCAGTGATTAAAGTAGCAAAAAAAAGTATTATCTGTTACCTTTGATGTATTATTACAGTAAACTGATCACTCCAATATAGCACATCACTGTAAACTTTATTCTAGTTCTGAAAACTACAATAAATTGCGCGTATTTTCATGCAACCTTTAATGACGTGAAATTGTCATATTCCATTCGGCCAGTTCAGCTAATCATCATAATTGATCCAATCTCTCAGAAACTCTGAATTAGGACATTACATCTAAAATTAAAATTACAATTTCAGTCAAAAATGTTTCAGTGGCTGCTTTGAAACTAATTGCTCCAGCCCACTTTAACCTCTGATTATTACCAGTAAAAGTCATGTAGTTAAGTGCTTAACACATTCATTTGGCAAGCAAAAGGTTGCGGTTCAAGTTCAGCAGGCGACACAAATCTCTGTGGTGTTTCACCAGAAATGGCATCTGGCATAAAATGCTGCCAAATCAAATGTGCAGACCTAGCTGGTGACGCTTAATGACAAGGGAGCAACTGAAAGCTGCTTTAAATGCAGATGTGTTTTTGTTCACATTGTTGTTTGAGATTATTGTAGTTCAAAGAAGCGCAAGTTTCTTAGTCTCAATATTTTGAAGATATTTGTGGAGTATATGCTCACACAGATCTGTTCTAAGGAGGTTAGATTGGCGAGGAAGACACTTGTAGCGTTTGTTTCAACACATCTGTCACCTGGAAAGGATCTTTTTCTCAGTGTCTACGCTTTGAAAATGAAAGGATGGACATTTATGTTAAACAAAAACAAAACCGAAAATGATTTAAATGTGTGTCACGAGGCCTGGGGTGATGAAACGCAGCCAACATACATTTAGAGTCCAAGAACTTAAAGAGAAATCCATCCAAATGTAATCTTTAGTTTACTTTGGCTGTGATATGCAGCAGTTTATTGACCTTGCTGACATCTGCTGTAGTACAGTACATGCGCTCTAACTCCTCAGTATTTTTCAAACAAAAACACAGAAATCCTGCTATTTCGCTTTTCCGAATTCTCTACCCACAGGGGAGGCAGCACCCAGACAGGCCTGGCTCTGAAGTACATCCTCAGGAAGGGTTTCCCAGGCGGCCGTAACTCTTCCAGTGTGCCTCGCATCGTCATCCTGATGTCAGATGGGAGATCTCAGGGCAACTCGGTGCTGGCAGCTGCTCAGCTCAAAGACACAGGCGTGGTTGTGTTTGCTGTGGGCTTGCGCTACCCCAAGTATGTTTGACAGCTCCACAATAAACTTTCCCTATAATAATTCATTAAAGTATGTGTACATTTCTTTATATACTAAGCCATCTCTATATGTTTTCAGATGGGAGGAGCTTCACGCTTTAGCCAGTGAGCCAACAGAGAGCCACGTTTTCCTCGCCGAGCATTTCCATGATGGTGTCAATGGCCTGTACACAACACTGAGCACGTTCTCTTTCTGCAACGCCACACCCGCAGGTTGGACTTTCCACTGACAACTATTCGTGCTTGTTTGTTAAAGAAGTGAATGGGAATCCTTTTCTCTAACATCCTTGTTTTGTGCTGCACTACCCCCTTTTTTCTAGTCCCTCATTGCTCAGTGTCCAGTCTCCTCCTAACCCCTGTCTCAACCCTGTTCTCCAGGCTGTCGGATGGAGACATTTCCCTGTGAGAGGAAGACACTGGAGACAGTTAAAGAGCTGCAGGGGAACTACATGTGTTGGAAAGGTTCCAAAGGCTATTCCCCATACACATCTCTCTGTCCCTACTACAGGCAAGTGTTTAAAGGTTTTACTTTCAAATGTCGTAGCTGCAGTATACAGTACTGTGCAAAAGTCTTGACACGGCTCATCTGCTGTAGATAGTTGTTTATTTTTTTTTTTAGATGTGTCACTACTTCTTTTGTCCTCCTATTTATCCAGATTTCTTAAATTCTTTAACAGTTCTTTAACCTGAAACTGTACAGCATGCTAAGTTGTCTGTGTAGAGACAACACGAGCATGGGGTGGCTCAGGACTTTAGCACAGCACTGTATAGTTTCCTAATATGATCTGTTTTGGACGTTGCATTGGATCTAAGTGTGTAACAGTGTTTTTTTCCCCCTCATTGCTCAATGAGCCACAAGACAGCAGTGGAACAGGGTAACTCCCATGTGTTAATGTGCTGTGTCAGTGTGAGGGTGATAATACAAAACAAGCTACAGCAGTGTAATTCTTTCAGACCCTCCCAGGCAAAATTAAAATGGCCTTTGACAAAATTAATTTCACACAACATTGCAACTTTACCACAGCAAAATGGCCCGAGGCAAGTGGAAGTAGACCATTACACTCAAGGTAAAACTACTTTTTTGGGGGAAAAGCAGAGAAAAGAAATAAGGTGTGTGCTGTTTCTAGTACCTGAAACTGTCTAGATGAGTGCTAGCAATTCGCATGACTGGCAGATCCAACTGAGATCTAAAATGCCTCTAGCCACTTATTATATGAATCAATTGATGGGTGGGGCTCAGGTAATATGTTTCTGTTACCTAATAGGGAAAATCAGAGAATGGCTTATGGGGGTCAGGAACTTACCCACATCACACCATCTAGAAGCAACTGTTTTAAATGCTAACAAAATATTTTGAATTTTGTGTTCTACAGGTACAACAAGGTTTATACGAGACACCAGACAGTCTGCCATAGAACAATTTGTCCGGGTAACAACCTCGTCTTGCCGCTTTTTACTTCTCTGAGATGCGGTAACTGCAGCTCACGCTCTTCATCTCTCTCTCCGCTGTAGATCCCTGTGATTCTCAGCCATGCCTGAATGGTGGAACATGTGTATCAGAAGGTTCAGAGGGCTACCACTGCGTGTGTCCTCCTGGCTACGGAGGAGACCCACACTGTGGTCAGTACACTCAAAGCTGCTGACTACATGCTAAGGCTATGTCGGATCTTGAACGTAGAGAGCAAATTAACCAAACCATCCATTTCTTCTTAGCTCCTGCATTATTGCTGGACTGCTCTGTAGACCTGCTCTTCCTGCTGGAGGGCTCTGCCACACTCACCATGGAAGGCTTTCTCCGCCTGAAGTCCTTCTTAAAGCGCTTCCTGCAGACTGTGATTGGCTCTAACAGTCCCAGCAAGGTCGGCCTGGCGGTGTTTGGCGGGGAACCACGAGTCGAGGCCCAGGTTGGCAAGTTCAAAGGAGACCTGAGCAGTCTTCTTAATGCTGTGTACTCACTTCAGCTAATTGGTGGTGAAACAAACACGGGCCAGGCCCTCCGCTATGTTACCCGCCATGGCTTTATGAGCGCGCCGGTCTTTGCCGATGTCGCGGACGACCTTCCCCGTGTGGTGGTGCTGCTCACCGCCACTCCTGCCGCAGATGAGGTGGTTGAGCCGTCTAAATATGCACGAGACAGAGAGATCTTCCTGATAGGAGTGGGACCTGACAGCTTAAAGGTGCAGCTGAATAACATCACAGGAAATCTGCAGAGGACCCTCACCTACTCATCACCTGATAGGCTCGCTTCCAAGATCCCTGAGCTGAGGGCCAAGATCTGCAGCGTGGATACGCAAGGTGCTTGATCTGATAGATGTGCTGAATATGTTGGAACATTAATGCCACCATTAGGTCAGATACTATTGCACGCAAAAAAAATCAAATTAGCTATCCATATTCTTTTTTTTGTTTCCTTTTCTTTTCCAGGTTGTCTGGGTCAAGCTGTAGATCTGGTGTTTGCCCTGGATGCTTCAGGTGGTGTGGGCCGTGATAACTTTGCCACCCTGCAGAACTTTGTGCGCAGTGTCACCGTCCAGTTCGACATCAACCGTGACGTGGCTCAAGTGGCCCTTGTGGCGTACAGTAGGAGACCCACCACTGTTTTCAAGCTGGACACGTATGAGACTGGTTCTTCCATCATTCAGGCTGTAGGTGACGCCAAGTATGTGGGTGGAGTGGCTTCGACGGGTGGGGCGTTGCTGCACATCCACTCTAATGTTCTCACCATAGCTAATGGCGCACGACCGGGAGTGAACAAGGCTGTAGTAGTGGTGACGGACGGCACCGGTGGGGATGATGCTGTCGTACCAGCTCAAAAGATAAGAGACAATGGAGTCTCAGTGCTTGTGGTTGGTATCGGCGATGTCCAGAGGGAGAGGCTGGTGCAGATTGCCGGTGCAGAGGAGCACATGATCTCAGTGCCGTCCTACGAGGATCTCAAGTACTTTGAGGATGTCCTGGTGCAGATGCTGTGTTCAGGTAACGATGCAGGGGAACTTGTCTTTTACCAAACCTCCTAAACGGTTTTCCTTTTCTGTTGATAAAGAACTGTGTGAAACTGATCTGCAATCTTTTCCCTTCACTTAGCCTTTTCAGAGATGTAAGATAGTTTATTTTAAACTTAACATGAAAAATAATTGGCTGCTTTGTGTTGATTCCTTCCTTTCAGAGGTGAAGAAACCTGTAAACCTGTGCAAGCCTAACCCATGTATGAATAATGGGGTCTGCATCTTGTCAGAAGGGAGCTTTCGCTGTCAGTGCCAAGGCTATGAGGGGCCGCACTGCGAAAGAAGTCAGTGACATTCATGAAAGTTTTCTTTCCTTATATCCTTAGTTTCTACTTTTCATAGCTTTGTCAGTGATCCTTCTACAAAACTTAAGTGCAAAAACAAAGACAAACTGATTTAGATATACATATCCTGATATAGCATTTGATCCCATATTAAAAGCTCATAAATTAAACTGTAAATGTAAATGGACAGAATTGGTTACAAGTCATGACTTGTTGTGTGGTTTGTTTGTAGGAAGCAGCAGGTCTTCATCCAGAGGGGATCTTCCAAGACCTGCTGGTCTGAGGAGGAAGAGCAGACAGAGGAAGAACCACCAGGAGCTTCTGCATCGCTACAAACTACACCGTTGGAGACATACTCCCTGACATGCCCTGCACTTATAAACACAAAGTATACACTGAGCATATGAACACTTAAGAACCGAGGATGCTTGCAGGTAGACGATGGAGCAAAGGGAGATCTAATGTTGCTTTGTTTTTTTGCTTCAGTGTTTACAGTTGCACACAGTGTCAGCAAGTGTCTGTACTGCTGAATCCATTTGTATGTTATTATTGTTGTCACTGTGCTCACTGTTGTGCAAATGTCTCAACACGGTTCTCTTGTATTTAAAGGATTTAAGCTTTTATATTATTAATCAGTGTCAGGATCCTAATGTTTTTAATGGATAATAGACACAACTTTATTTCTTTACATAACCAAAAAGAAGGTCCTCCCACTCCCTCCGTTTCCATTTTTAATATTACGCTCCATATTTTTACACGCAAATCCACTAAGCTGGTCGAGGTTCATTTGGAAGAAAAAAGTACATTCATATTGTTAAATTTAAATGTACAAAAGGTAGTTATACTCCAGTGAGGGGTGAAATAATTGAGGATTTCAAGAGAAGATGGCAGGTACATTTTGAATGAATTGATGGGAAGGAATCTGAAACTAAAGGAAGGAAACAAAAATGTTTCCCCTTACAGAAGTAAAGAGTTTATTCTTGTTATAGCAAAATGATACATTTTTAAAAACAAAAAAAATCAACCCATATTTTTGTCAGTATATTTTTATTTGAATAAAAAGTGCATTTTTAGCTAGCAATACAAGCCCAAAGGCTGAATAATGGTGTAAATATATTTACATCTTGGCTACCAGCATATATGAACCAAGCTACAATCTGTGTACAGAGCGGCTGATTTAGTAAGGGGGCCTCTGTCTCGTACTTCAGTGGTTTTTAATTTCAACGTTTCAAAGTTTAAACGTAGCATTAATGCATTTCTTACACTGGCCAAAATGCTACTTCATCACTTTCCTCCCTTTGCAAATAGAAACAAACTTTAAAAAGTCATTGAATTTAAGATTAAATCCAGTGGTATCCAAGAACACGAAGTGTGCCTCTGTGGCTCATCATAGTCTTGACAAAGTGATGGTTTGGTTGAAGGGCCAAGGGAAGGGAGGTTCTTGATTAAAATGTCTGCTCATTCGGTGGGTCAGAATGTGGTGACGGGCGACTAGACCAACATAAACTTCTGAATTTCAAAGGTCAATGAAGATTTCCTCTTAGGTTGTTGATTTCTTTTCCCATTCCTATGAATATAAAAAGAAATAGACCTACCAATTATAATATTTCTTTCAAGATAAGATATTGACATTGATGCTTTCTGTGTAAATAAGAATCTCACCTTAGCTTTCTGTAGGACGTTGCCTTTTGTGGTCATCATGGAGGTGGGTCTGCCTTTAAGAGCAGAAGCAGAATTGACCGGGGAAACTGAATCTGCGTTAACGTTGCTGCTGGAGGGTTGGGAAGAAGATGATGGTGACAATAACGATGACGACGACGACGACGATGACGATACCTGGGGAGAGCCTATCGTTGATGCTTTAGGCTGAGGGTAAAACAGCAGCGAGATGGTTAAGGTTCACATTTCAAGCATCACGCACTGATTTGAAAAACACAGAAAACATTTAGCAGATGGATTCTGAGGTGTATTGAAAGACAGCCAGCACACTAACCATTGGCGTGTCCTGGAGGCTGCTGTCCAGTGTGGTTCCCAGCGTGAAGGGCCCTGACTCCACTTTCTTCAGACTTTCCTTCACTTCTACCAACTGTAGCTCCACCTCCACCCTGTGCTGCTCTGCCTCTCGGCACGCCTCCTCCTTCTGCTTGAGACGGGCTTCCAATGAGGCCTGCTGCTTGGGATCTGAGGACAACAAACTGCTGTCAGTCCCCATGTGATCGGTGCAAATCTTTGAGTCATACGGACACTGCAGGTGTACCTTGGCAGGTGCTGAGCTCCTCTTTGGTTTCCCTCTTCTCTTTCTTGAGGTTTGCCAGACTGATTTTCACCTCCTCCCTCTCTTTCTCCAGGCGATCACGCTCCTCGATGTAACGCCGCATGTCTGCCTCTGTGCGGTTCTTGCCCAGCTTTATCTCAACTGCACCGGGGCATCCTGGTAATTGAGCATTTATAATTTTAGAGGACATAGAGATTTAATAACCGTAAAAACCCCAAACTTGCCCAGATCTTAAGCTGTGCTTTTAACTGTAGAAGATGCAGGCTGTCACTAGAGGGAGCCATGGTTATGTAATAGTACAGAATAGGAAGCAGGTGTCAAGGAAAGTAATAAGTACTTCTAACATATCTGCTTCATGATGAAAAGTTGTTGAATATATCTGTAAAAAGGTGAGTGTGGTGATATTAAAATGAAGAGCATGCTTGCTATATCTTTTTTATATATACAGAACTCAGCAAACCCACTGCACCATTTGTCCTGACCTATAGTATGTGCCTTGGGCCTTGCAGGTTGTGGGCTGTGAGGATGCACAGCAGCAGTGTGAGATGTTGGACCCTTGTGGATTTGTCCACCAAAGGAATTGAAGGCCTGTGTGATTCCCAGGCTGGTCTTCTTAGTGGTCTCTTGGCTCTGGGTTGAGGTCTTGACTGGTTGAGTTTGTGGCTGTGATGGAGTGGGAGTCTGGGCTCGTTCTTGTTCTGGTTTGCTGGTAGCAGAGGCTAAGTTTGTCCCATTTAATGCGAGCATTGAATCTGGCTCAGTATTGTTAGTCGACGTCCCCTGCAACTAAATGATGTGCAAATTATTAATGTAGAAAGTAAAAAATATTTTCTAGAGAAAGGTTTGAGGTTGTCAATAAACTCTAATTTCCTACCTCTTTAACTTGAGAAGAGGAGTCCTTCTTGTCATCTGCTGATATTAGGGAATGTCTCGAAGCTTCTTTAGGGGAAAGTTTCCCTCCAGAGGATGTATGAAGGAAAGAGCGCACAGGGACGAGGTCTAGGTAAATCCTGTTTTCAGAGTCTTGTTCTGTACCCTGTGGGCCCTTGGCATTGTCTTGTGAGCATGTTTCATTGTCTTTCTGGAGATTGTTGCCCTCGCAGTTTGTCTGGCTATTCTCCTCAGCATCCTGTATGACACGAGAGGAGGAAATTAGGAGATGGCTTGTGGCCAGATGACTTGAGTCAATATTAAACTGAAAGTTAAAATCTCAAAACATTGCATCGGGTTTCGTGACAGCGTACCTCTGGGTCAGCTATAGAGGCCACATCATCGTACAGATCATCAGAGTTGTGAGAAATAGAAGGTAGGGTGTCTATGTAGGTGTTTGGCTCTGAATACCTCCTCTGCATCAAGCTAGAAAGACACACAATAACAAATAACCTTGTGCAGTGGTAGTCCTCTCCAAAAGCTCAGACTTCAGACTGCTTAAAACACCGGCATTTAGACAGCTTTATATACTCTTCTATCTGGATGATGTCAAAGAGAGGGGATGTTATATTATTTTGGTCATCTGAGGCACTGTTCTGGCTGTGAACACAGCAGCTGCAGTTCAAATGTTTTGTTTGTGAGGACTGACCAATCGGAAGAAAGACAGTTTTAAAGCAGTGGCTGTGGCTTGAAAGATAGAGCAAGCCGTGTACCAATCATAAGGTTGGTGGTTTGACCTCTGGCTCCTCTATTCTGCATGTCGTCCTCGGGGAATATAAGTTTCCCTTGATGCATCCATTGAAGTGTGAGTGTGTTATGTTAGATTAAAGGTGATTTGGCATAGAATAAAGCACATATGTGTGAATGGTTGAATGATTCTTGTAGTAAGAAAGTGCTTTGAGTGCTCAAATAGACTAGAAATGCGGCGTTTAAGCACCGGTCCATTTAAAGCAAAGTTGGACCAAAGATCAATGCGTGATAAATGAGGATTATTTCAAACTGTGAATGACGCAGAACCACTCTACTAAAGTCCAAGAATAAGATATGGAGCTGGAAATCTGCATATTGAGGTGAACAAAAGCGAATAACTTACTATAAGGAAGTCCTCGCAGCATTGACAATAGTGGAGATCCTCTCAGCATTGACATAGTCGTATGTCAGCTCCTCTGGATCTGTTTTGCTTCCCGTCTGTGACAGCAAGAGTCCCAGCCAGTGACCCATATCTGCTGATGTCTTAGCCTGGGAGGGGATGGAAAAGAAAAGGACAAGCATTCACTGCAAACCATGCACTTGCAACATCATGTTTTTAAATTCTCAGTTTAATTTGGATGCCATTTTTAATTAATGAAATGATTGCTACAGCACCATTTCCAAGCAGCGGTTCTCTGAACTAAACTTTAAGAAATGAACCGTACAAGCTGAGCTGTTAGACTTAACTAGAAATATATAAGAGGAAAGAGCTGTTTCTCGGATTTGGTATTTTGGATCAAACTGCTTCTTAAGAATTCTCTATTAAATAAGTAAGATTGAGATTGAGGCACGTAAAACAACCTGATATGACACGATGTGTTTACTGCCTTTTATTATTTTGGAAGATTCAAACAGCTTGTCTAAATTAGAAGGTTAACTATTACACATATTACATAATGGTTTGACGTCGCATATTTATTTGAATTAAAATAGTTTTAATGTTAACCTTATGACAAGAAGGAAAAAAACAACACATCCCAGAAGACTAAACACTGAATTCCATTGACCAAACATGCACTGCAGCTGGGTGGTACTGGAAGCTTAATGAAAAAGGGTGTAGCATTAGTCCCCCAAAAGCCCAGTACATCCACACCCTTTACACAAAGACGCACACTTGCATATGTACACATGCACCCACACCCACTCAAGCTCCCAGACCACCCTTGTGTGCGCACATATATTACATATGCTGTCTGATGTCAGCAGAAAGTGAGTTTCAGATGAGGACATGTTTGTTGAGGGTTCCAAGAAGCAGCTGTGCATCTTTTCTCATTTTGCTGACTCGGTATTTGCTTTTTTCCACACATTTAAATCCCGCCAGACATTTGAGCCCACCGCTTAGAGCTAAGCAGTAAGCCCAAAGTAAGCTCTCATCTGAGGCAAGCATGAGCTGCAGACAGGAAACATTGCCGTGTGTACATGCAATATCATGGTCTATTTTCAATAAGCTTTGGTTAAGTAGCGCTTTGAGCTTGCAGCACACCGCTGTTCCACTCCTGACTAACTGAAACCTGCGTGGTTGGGTTTCCACCCAGTGCAAAGTATTTATTTTGCATGATAACAAAGCCTCCAGCATTTTCTCACCAATCTAACCCCCCTACAAACATTTAAATGTAGAGAACATAAAGCGGTAATCTACCTCTAGAGTTGCCATCTGTGTGCCATCCATGTCAATCCGAAAGGAGTATAGGTGCTCTGGGCTGGGGTCAGGCAAAACATTGCAGCCCTCTAGAGACACAGCAGGTTGGGTTACTTTGTTCTTGCCCTTGTCTTGGTAAAACCACAGCTGTCCATTCTTTATAAGACACCAGCAGGTCCGCCACTGACTGTTCACCAGTACATTGAGGTAGCCTGAAAGAAGATGGAGGAGAAAACATAAATATGAAGTTTCCTTTTTTACTTCTCTTAGAAATTAATACTGTGCAAAGAAAACAAATACTGAAGTCGCAGAAACTTACACTGCGTGGCTTTAAGGTAATTCCACTTGACTGAAAGAAATATATGCTTGCTTGATGTGATAAACCTCACAATTCATACTGGTTCTTACTTAAACCAGTGCTTACAAATTGCTGTCATATAATCTTGTTTGTTGCTGAAAACCAACAGTCTGCCATAGAGGGTGCATATCATTATGGACTAAATGATTATAATCCAGTAGTACTAACATATATTACAATGAGGAGTTTTGACAGAACATCATTAGACCATGTTCACAGTGAGGTTCAAAACAAACGGGATCTGCTTTATTTTGCATATAACACAGGGAAGAAACAGAGACGGTGCCTTTTTGTATGTCTTGCATACAATCTAATGTTATCTGGACCAACCAAAATGATATGCAGGTGCTATGCCAGCCCACTCATGAGGTGGGTTGAGACCTTTTTGACGGACTGTGCTGGAGTGCATGGTGCTATTATTACCACCAGGAGCCCACAGGGGAGTGTCATATCTCCACTTTTATTTACTTGCTGTACTAGCAAATGTAGGACTTATCTGATGATGCAATGAGTGTTAATTTGAAAATATTATGGATATTGTGGATGAGTTGGTGTCATGCTAGTTTTCGTTAGTTAAACACCAAGAAAATGAAAGTGGGTGCATCAACAGGTAGCTTTTAGTGAGGACGTTACTTAAAGACACTAAAAAAACTACTTTTCTCTACTTCCTTATTCACGTGTTTTATACTTTGAGTTTTTACATCAGCTGTCCTTCCTGACACAAACACAAAGGGATCTTTGTCTCCTCTTGGAAAACTGGTGATCTTTTGCTTGTTGGGCGAATGTGTAAATTACTACAAGGGGCAAAATCTGTCATGCAATTCAATCACAAGTGTCTGTAATGTCTCCAACAGCAATGTCTTTGTCGCTGTGCTTGCATTCATCTTACATTTATCATGAGATATAAATGGAATTATTGAAAGGGTAATAAATGTTACTACTACGATATATTTACCCTCATTTTAGATTACAAGTCTTTTATGACTCACTTTGATCCTAAGAAGGCTGGACCAGTGAAACTCCCCTTTCTGTCAGTGTGCAGAAATTTAACTACACTTTTAATCATTGAGATATCCAAATAAAAGAAAAAAAAAAGTGTAATTTCAACAATAGGTCGTAGTTTTTTCTGCTGCTGGAGTAAATGAAAGAAACTGTTCAGCATGACTCTGAGTGTAAATTTTAAAAATAACCGGATTAGAGAGTTTCTGTTAATTCACAGAAAATGTCCTTTTTACCTTTTTTACCTTTTTATAGGCAATCTTGAAAAAACAGGAACTTTTCTGTTATTTAATTGTAACTGTAATTTCTTACTTAATTAATTTGATGTAGCAGGAATGGCTATGAGGAAGGTCTTTTTTAACAGGTAAAGCTGCAAAACTTGTTAAAAATACATTTAAAAGCCCAATAATTTATGCCCTACTTCACATTTTCCAGTTGGCCAGACTGGAGTCTTTGCTGGGCCGATTCTGGCCCCTGGGCCTTATGTTTGACTCCCTTGCCTTAGACCTTCATTAGACCTCTCATGCCAGTACAAATGCCCTTCTGCAATTAAAAGCAGCAAACTTTGAACTTTGAAGTTAAGTAGATTTTTGCGAACCTGAGGTGTCGACACATTTCTCTGGGCTCTCGAGTGCGGAGGGTTTTTTCTTGCCGATGTTCATCAGGTTGCTGAACATTAAACCTGCTCCATATTTTTTCTTCACTGTGGAAAAGAGGAGGAGAAGGACGACAAATTGACTATTTTTTCTTTTTACACCCTCTCCTTGAACATGTGGAGCACAGCAGATAAAAGCTAAAACCCCACAGAGGAGCTTACCATCTTTGCTTTCTGGCGTTTCAGCATGGCTGTCTGTGCTGCTGCCGCTCTCTGAAGCCACAGAGTATCTCTCACTCAGCTCTCCCTGTGGATTCATGGCTATATTTTAGTCATTTTGAAATCTTATCGAAAGTCTCATCAAAAACATGATGTCTGATCACAACAGATCAATGTACCTTAGTACAAATAAGCCTTGGGGAGTCAGACACAGTGTGTTGGGGGTCACAGCTATCAGCTGGCTTGGGACTGATCTCTTGAATAACCTGGAGCAAAAACAAGATGTTCTCATTTTGATATTGCGAACAAATAAATAACCATCCAATGATCTCGAAAGCAAGCTACTGTGAACGTGTTACCTTCAGCCACTGCTCAGCCTGTTCTTTGCTCTGCAAGCCCAGGACAATGGTCTCCCCACCCACTGGAATAATCTTCAGCTTGTGCTCTTTCCTCTTTAACTGCTTCTCTTTGTAAACAACACTGCAGCCCAGCAGACTCACATCCAGCAGAGGTGTCTGCTCCTTGGAGCTTTTATAGCACTGAGAGAGGCAGAATCAACATGCAAGCTTCGTTAAAAATGAATTACTGTCCTTTAATTTTAGCTGCACGCTGACCAAAACAAGCTAGAAGGTAAATAGTTAGAATAATCAGCAGATTTGTGTAGTTACTATGCAGTCTTCTCAACCATAAACCATTACCTACCTATCTAACAGCAAAGTAAAAATTGGGTAAATTCCTGAATGTGTTTATTGATTTGAATCATATTAGAATAAAAGTTTTACAGTAGACTTTTTAAGAAAGTGAAAACAGCCACTCGTGCAAACTCCATGCTTTAGATAGCCTGTTAAAAAAAGTGTTCATAGGTAATTACCCTCTAGAATGCTAGACGAGCAAGTGGGGGGAACACTTAACCAAACATAGCGGGCAGGTATTCATGCATTTGTCTTTTAATACCAAGAAAAATATAAAAATATAACAAGTCAGTTTCAGAGGAAGTTGCATATGCGTTGTCACAGATCTATTTCTTGACAGCTGTTCGTTCAGCGCTTGCTATTAAGAATCTCTGGCAGCTGTCAGTTGAACAGTTAAAAAGTAAAGCCTACACACCGGCTTTCTAGCATACAAAATATCACAGGGATTATACACAGCCCTATTCTTTTTAATATATGGGCTAATTTGGTTTAGATTTTTTTTCTTCTACGTATCACAACACAATCATAACACGCAATATCATAACACAAAACCTCACTGCAGCGTTAATACAGTCGTTTACCCACCAGCAGATGATGGTCTTTGATAACGCAAAGCTGTTTGGCCCACTGGCCAAGCCATTTCTTCCTCCACAGGAAAGCGCAGATGCGAGCATCTTTCATCAGCTCAATAGACGCCTCTGCTGATGGCCACTGGTGCTGAGCTGATGACGACTTCTCTCTGGTCACTTCCTCCTCATCGTAGGACTCATATGAGCTGCTTACCGCCTCTCCATCATCTACAAAGGGCAAGCAAAGCTAAAGATTACGACACTGCATGGGCTACAAGGGATGAAAAATGCCAGGGCGTCGAAAGCAAGGATTAGGAGAAGCAAAATCTGTGCGATGAGAGTGAATGAAAAATAAAGTTAATCTCTGTTTTTTGGACCTTTGCGACTTTCTTGAATGGAGGAGGATTTCCTAAAGCATTGAGCAAACACACATTTTCAGTACTGATGGTAAGCAGACAGGAAAATGATGAAACAAAGTTATGATGAAAGGGAAAATAATAAACTCAGGAAATTGATAGTATGAGGCTGATTGATGATGAAACTGTTTCCTTACATGCACTGATAAAACTGGACAACGAGCACTTTGGGGACATGCTGGCTTCCCAATTTGAATTTTGGATTTATGCAATCGCCTGCATTCATGCCACACAGACAGACAAACAAGTCCTAGCTACCCCTGGTGATAACAGCATAGACCACACTGTCAGAGCTGTACTCTCGTATCCAGGGCCCTGAGCGATGGCCAAAACAGTCCAGATCTAAATAATATCAAAGGAAACAGGAGGAAGAAAAGCAACATAGGGGAGATTGGACAGAACATAATGCCTTTGAATAATAATCATAGAAAAGATTACAAAAATAAATAAATCTTGTACATATTCATTATTGCATTCTCTTTGGCCTATTCACATATGTTTTCTTTTTCAAATGCATTCACGGGCCACTTCGTTTTTTCTTCAAAGCCGCCTTAAGTCTTTGTGGCATAGATTCAACAAGGTGCTGGAAACATTCCTCTGAGGTTTTTGTCCATATTGACATGATAACATCACACAGTTGCTGCTGATTTGTCGGCTGTATATCCGTGATTTAAATCTCTTGAGCCCTGGTGACTGAGGACTCCACCTGAGTACAAAGAACTCATTGTCGTGTTCCAGAAATCAGATTATCTGAGCCTTGTGAGATGGTGTGTTATCCAGTTGGAAGAAGTCATCAGAAGATGGCTACACTGTTGTCATGAAGAGACGGACATGGTCAGCAACAATACTCAGAAGGCTAAGGTGTTTAAATTATGGTCAGTTTGTACTAAGGGGTCCAAAGTGTGGCAAGAAAACATGCCCCGCACCATCACCACCAGCCAGAAGGATGGGTCTATGTTAAATTCTGAACCCAGCATCACCATTTCCAGTCTTCTTTTGTCCAATTTTGGCAACAATCAAGTCCGAAGTGTAGCAGTTTTCATTAATATATGATAGGAGTGAGACCCGGTGTGGTCTTCTGCTGCTGTAACCCAAGAGATGCTCTTCTGCATGCCTTGACCATAACAAGTGGATGTTTACTGTTGCCTTCCTATCATCTAAAAACAGTCTCGCTAGTCTCCTCTGACCTTAGTTAAGTATTTTTGGACAGAGAACTCCTGCTTACTGGATATTTTCTCTTTTTAGATGATTCTCTGTGAACCCTAGAGAAAACAGTCAGCAGTTTCTGGAACAACCATGCTATCACTGATATTCGCTTAAACCACCTTTACTCCCATTCTGACATTCTGCTTGTTGCTTACCTAGGCGATGATTATACAGTATGACTAATAACAAACAACCACAGGCCAAACAGGACAGAATATTCTTTGCAGCTGTGGTAAAAATGTGTTTAGTAACAATTCTGAAGAAAAAGCTTCCAGTACTGAATAAAAAGCTGACATGTGTTACATTCGAACAATTGTTACCTAATTCTTTCCCACAGAGCTGTGAAACGCCGCTATTGCGCAAAAACTGGTAATACAGACTGGTTTCTTATAATTGTGGTGCGGGTCTTACCACTTACTCAGTTATTTGTTCCAGTACATAGGCAACTCTTTTCGCTTTATTTTACAGCTCAAGCTAAAATGTTAAGCTAAGAAAAAGGCACAGCAGGTCTGAAATGTCTGTAACTTACATAGTTGAACTGAAACAACAAAAATATATCTAAATGAAAATGGTCTTAATTTAAAAGAAGTGATTGTAAAATTCAATTTAACAGCGTCAGAATTATGAATATGCACTTAAAAAAACTATTTCTGTAAAGAAGCAGTCTCAAATATTTTGTGGCACACACTCACACAAACACGAAGAATTGCTTCAAATAGGAAGGCTGCATTAAAAATAATACTGATATTCTTTGCAGTAGTATACAGCAAGAGCACTGGGTAACTCTGATGATGAATAAGGTATGAATTCATCACCTGGGGCTGTGCAATAGATGATACATCTAACTTTGAACACAGTTCTTACCATTGACAGTTTCCTCATAGGGTTGAGCCTCCTCATAGTAACTCTCTGAAGCGTCTGCACAGGCTGGAGCTGGTACTGGAGGCAAAGGGAACGGTTCCCGACACACCACACCCTGACAGATGAGAGAAAGATGAGGGAGTCAAAAACGAGAAAAGTACCCAAAAAAGAGAAGTGTGGGATTGTAAATGTCTGTGCTTTTTGTTCATTTAACGTCGCCCCCAAACCTACTGTCATTATAGTTTCTAGACCAGTGGTAATTAAGTGCTCTGAACACACGCGCATACACATGCACACACGCACACATCGACATGTGTTATTCCCACAGGCTGAACATGTGGTTAATCCCAGCTGTCACTTCAGGAATAACTAGGGAATTCCTCGTGTAACCAAACCTCCTCTGACCTGGGAGGCAAGACCTGGTAACTACTAGCACGTTTGCCTTTAGGGAAGAGGGAGTGTTTGTGTGAGCAAGGAAGAAGAGAAGGGTGTCGTATATTTGTGTGTGTGGGTATGTGTGTGTGCGTAGGGGTATATATGTGTGTGTGGCTTTCCTGAAATCACTCAGCAGTCTGGCTTCACTTCTGTCTCCTGTGTGGTAAAGACTGTCTCCCCAACACTTAATGCTTGACTAAAATCAAAACCAAAACAAACACATCTGTCTCCAGTTGTGTTTTTGTTTTTTTGTTTTTTATATTTAGCTTCTTCTTCTTTTTTTAATGAAGCTCAGGATTTTGCTCGATACATTAGACAGATGTTGCTTGTGCAGCATAATGGCTCCTGAATATTTACACTATTACAACTGAGCCTCACTCTCTCTGTATCACTTTTCTTTGGGTAAATTAAGAATAAAGCTTGAATCAAAGCAGGACAAGCATAGCACTCTACTGGTAGCTACTGGTAACGCTCTCCAGGAGGATGGAAAAGCAAAGTCACAATAAACTTCTTAGTTCTTGTTAACAATTTAGGCTATTTCTACTTTGTGACTGACACAAAAAAATCACACAAAAAAAGATTTTAAAGGCTTATTAAATCTAAATCCACAAACCAATCAATGCTATTGTGTGGTTAGACACATTAGTAGACATATAGTTAGTAGACTACAGTTAGAAGTTACACAGTACACTAATCTAGCAGAAGATTCTATTCTATTCTACTCTATTTTTATGGCCTCCAGGTGCTTTATACTATCAAGTAAAGACCCTAGAATAATAAAGAGAAAACTCTCTGTGAGCAAGCACTCTGGCAAGAGTGGAAAGGAAAAACTCCCTTTTAACAGGAAGACATCTCCAGAAGAACCCAGGAGGCTCAGAGTGGCAGCCATGCGCTGCCCCTGGTTGGGGGTGGCGTGAGGGAGACAGGATGATAGACACAGTGTGGAGCCAAAGTTATAATAACTGGTTAAATGTAGAGTGGTGCAGAAAGTTTGTCACTGCCATTTGTCAGTCTTATGGGCTGAACTTGCTTCTCTTTTGGCAGTGCATTGGTAGACCATATACAGTCCATCTACCTGCACAGAGCATCTGTCACACGTGTCCAAAGTATGTGGTTCAACCAATCTGTGGTCTTGTGAAACTGAGCTTTGAAAATAAGGAAAAGCATCCACTGCAGCGCATGTCTATGTTTTCAATACTTTATTTTTGAACTTTAATGTTTTTTCAGACTTCTGCACCCTCACCCCATTCTGGCCCACTTGTCAACCATTCAGCATTCAGCCTGTCGAACAACGTGCCGTTTGGGTTTTTAGAGGAGAACATGGGAACACATTTGCATTGCTTTTGCATTTGTGTTCAAAACTTCTCCCTAGGCTATGTAGGCAAACAGCTATGTAACCAGATATAACCATGGTAGTATAAAACAAGCATTACTAATCAGCATCATTTAGGAGATGCTTTGAAACAGCATGTGGTACCTTTTATTAAAACTCAGTCTTGTGGGAAAAGCTCTCAACTTCAAAAATGCAGGTAATTTGAAGACCATATTAATTAATCAGGTGTTTATTTTCACACTTTGAACAACCTTAAACCTTTGGACTCATGCATGATGTGTGGGGGAAGGACCTTCCAAGAAGGAAGAATTTCATCACTGGAAAACAGCCTCAATACCCTGAAGTTGCGACATAATCCTATGAAGTATCAATGGTGGCAATCAGAAGATGGCAGATATGCAAGTTTGGTCTTGGTGCAATCTGGAAATAAAATGACTTGCCCGCTTAAAAACTTCAGTAGCTGCCAGTGAAGATGCAATCTATGTATTCTTTTTCTTATCTCAGATAAACTGAGAGATACTGGAGTCAGACTTCCACATAAGGGTTATTCTTCTGAGGCAGTGAAGTTAAAGGAAGTTAAAAAAAATTACATATATCCCACTGTTTGAATTCTTTCACTTTCACTTCTACTTATTGAAATTAGTATACTTTAAAGCATTCTGCTTATTTTTATTATATTTACTTATTGTACAGCTTTCACATTCTCTGAAAGGTTGCAGTCCTTCAGCTGCTCTGTAAACAGAATAACTCAATATACCATATGATGAGAGTGTGAATGGTACTTTTAGTTGCCCCAAATCAGCCACGCTTAAAATATACAGAAACAAATGAGAGAGAAAGCAGTGATAAATTGTGTTTAGTGGTCACAAACCTGTGGTGGGTCTTCAGATACCAGAGTGATTTACTGGTTCAGCTTAGAAACAGAACAACAAAAAATAAAAACACAGCCATATTTGTCTGTTTGTGTAAAAATCATTATTTCTGATGTGGGCTGTCAGTGACAGACGCAGCAACTCCCAGTAAACAGGGAATTCCCTGTTAGTGAGCTTTTCCCACCATATCACTTCAGTGAGCTAAGACATTTTCAGTAATCCATAGCAGATGTTATAATAACTGGCGTCATGTCACGGTCCGCGAGCAGTCACAGTGATGAAGACTCACTTGTGTGATTTGCCTGCATGCCTGAACATGGAGGAAAGCAGCCACTAAGCAATGTGTTGGCAGAAATGTTATCACGGCCGTTTAGGGAGGGTAACATCCCTTATACATCATGGAGCTATTTAAGATGCGTCATTATACAAGCATCAGCAAATGTGACTGTCAGTGTGTCATGAGACCTGCTCTCGAAAATGACCAAAATATATAAAGTCTATTTAAACACACAGGTAACTGATGCTGATAATAACTGATGCTGTTACAGGTATATTGGCTCACTTGTGCCCACATATTCTTCTGAAATTTCTTTAATTCGTAAGTGAAACTGTCAGTGTGTGTGTGTGTGTGTTTCCAGTTAGGTGATAAGCAGAAAAAACCTACCACGTTTTTTTGATAGCAGGAAATACTGAAGCAAATCAGCAACAGAAGAAGTTGTACTCTTGGTTTAAACACCCTACTATGAGGCAACAGTGATAACCACTGAGATAAGATGTTGGCATTACTAGGGTGTCTATTGACCATTGTTATTTTTAATCACAGGAGTTACATCACTCCTTCTTACTCGTTTATTTCTGTAAAATTATTATAACTTTATAATTTAGGTTGTAGAAAATGATGGAGGCAAAACTAAAATTAAGTCATGTAAACCCCCATTTATCCTAATTGCCAACAGGGGGCTTCAAAATTGAATTCAACTGTAAAGAAATCAATGAAAATATTTTAGATTTTTCCTGATTTATGATCTAGGAAAATTCTCTCCTCGTGAACTTATCATCTCAATTGCTATTTCCAAGTTAGATTTATGTTTATTTTGTATATTAATGTTACATTTACCCCCAGCCAATTACACAAGTGGCTCAGGATCATGTCTCTGCTTCTTTTGCAGATGATCAAGCAGTGACCTCAAGAAAAACTTGCTGCTGAGTATGAAACTATAGGAATGAGAATTAGCACTTCCAAATCTGAGGCCATGATCAGAAAAAAGAATAGTGCACAAGCTGATTTTAAGACTCTCTAGGTCTGAGTGGAGATGGACATCGAAAGATGGATTGATGTGGGTTTTGGGAGCGATGTGAGCGCTGTACCATTTTTTTGTGATTAAGAGAGTGCTAAGGGAAGCACTGATCTTCCGACCTTCACCTTTGGCCGTGAGCTCTGGGTAGTGCCTGAAAGAACTGAATCATGGATACTAGCGTCAGATATGAGCTTCCTCCGAAGGGTGGCTGTATTCTTCATTAGAGGAAATTTGTAAATTGAGAGGGATTCAGAGCCTGGCCACTACTCCACATCAAAAGGAACCAAATGAAGTGGCTTGGACATATGAATAGGATGCCTCCTAGGTACCTTGTAGGTGAGGTCGTCTGAGCATGTCCTGCTGGGAGGAGGCCCTGTAGCAGATCCACGATACACTCGAGAGATTACATCTCTTGGCTGGTGTGAGGAGTGGAAGGTCTTGGCATAGAGTGTGTGCCCTGAGACTTGAGCCCAGATAAGAAAATTGATGGTGGATGGATGTTATGTTTAGAGTGAACAAACAACAATCGATTACGGGTATGACTATCTTGGTATTGACAAGTTTCTGCCATATGACAATGTGCTCTCAGTGTCCTCAACACTTAGATCCACCCCTCGCTGTTGATGCCCTGATTTAAAGTATTCAAGATGACCATGGCCAAAATGCCAAACTCAATCCAACAGGTGACAACATTGTGGCTATGTCCGTTTTTACATAGAGCTCATGGTTTCATAACCCATATATACTGCAAATAACAAGTCAAGAGAGTTAGAGACAAGCCTGGTCTAAGCCTTAATAATAGTTATATACAAAAGCAGTTAACAGGAATTTCCTGAGAAAGTTATTATTCTGTTTCTCACTTCTCTCTCACTCTCTCACTGCAACTTCTCCAGAGTTTAAAAAAAGTAGTCAAGAGTTAAGCATCTGCTATTAATTAAAACAAAAAGTCAGGCATTCCAGAGGAACCGCAGTAAGCCACCCCAGACTGCCCACCCACTCTTATCTCTATCTTTTTTCTTTTTCTTTTTACATTTCCTCAACTCCAAAAATATTAAATTGGCTTGTTGTCTGAGCCAAGCCTGAAGAGAAGCATAGTAAGCCATTCCAGGGAGGTGTTGCACTGGTGAAAAAGCATCAGGGACATGCCAGGTGTGTGTATCCATTCTCCCAGAAGACTTTGCTATTCTTCTGTCTCTAATAGTCACTTTAGCCCCTTCCTTTTACTTCTCTCATGCACAAACACACTTCTTCACCACAGAAACATCGACTAGAAGGGAAGAAATGAGGAGTCGGAGGATAAATAACAAAGCAAGGAGAGAGGGTGGCGGGGTGTGGTGGAGGGGCTTTGAGTAAAGAGTGGGAAAAGAGAGCCCAAAAAACGAACAGTCAGAGGAACATGGAAAATCCCTGGTTCCCATGCCAAGAATTCGGTGCAGTGAATGCACACACACACACACACACACACACACACA